CAAGAATAAGAACCATTTGTTAAGAACAAAAAATGTCTCACATAATTAGAGAACTGCTGAAAGCCACCAATTTAGTGCTCAGGCTTGAAAATGTAAGAATATTTATTGTAACAACAGCAAGAGCTTCAGCATTGCCTCAAGGTGGGGACGCCACACACACGCACCGGTGTGATCAGGGGATCAGATACCTGGGGCAGAGCCAAACACAAGGTGCACTGAGATTCCAATGCCACTCCAACACCTCCATTAGTGCATTTCATGCTAGTTATGAAGCCAAGCTACCCACCAGGTACCCAGAGCACCTTCCACTGGGGTGACGTGTCCCCTTCCTCAGCCTCATCCCTTCCACCCACAGCCTCCAGCCATCGCTCCATAACCATTCCCTCCTGTCCAGCCCACCAAACTGCCCTTCTGTCAGGAGCAATGAGGACGAAAATAACTCCCAAAGCCTCTACAAGGGGTGGGGAGCCTCTGCCTCAAAAACTCTTCAAAGGTCAACAGTGAGGAGGGCAACAGTGAAAAGATGGAACGTGACATTAAAAATAGAACATATGGTGTCTGAATGGAGCTGATTTTTACATAATGGAGAATAAAGTGATGCAAGAGAAGCTGAGAATGGGAGAGACTGGTGGGGTTTGACCTGAGAAGAGACGGAGACAGAGCTCCTGGACCTGCCAGAGAGGAGCTCTGCCAGCCACAGCTTGGCTCCTCGGCCACCAAAGCCACCAAGGTCCCCCTGCCAACAGCTCCTCAGCCCCACAGCTCAGCTCCCACCAGGTTTGATTCCCTCCCACCCAGCCCAGTCCAGCACCTCTGCAGATGCGGGTCATGCGCCGCAGCAGGGCCAGGCAGCGCCGCCGCCGGCCCCGTGCAGAGCTCCTGCTGTAACCCAGCGTGGGGGTAAATCCATTTCGGCAGCGGGGTCCTCTCAGAACAGCCTCTGGAATGCCACCTTTGTCGTGCCACGCCATCCCTTCCCTCCACAAGCTTCTCTGCGGTGACCACAGCAAAAATTGAAAAAGTGCAAAAAAAGTCACCGATGAAGTGGGACTTTAAAGTCAGCAGGTGAAAACCAATCCAAGTCCAAACCAATCCAAGGCAAGCAAAGCTTTAAATTCCACTCCAGGGCAGCTCTCTGCGGGATGTGGAGCAGCAGCTCCGTGACTCCGGTGGTAGGGACCAGATGGGATGCTCTGCCCGGCCCCTCACACAGCGTCAGCTCTCGAGCTCACCCAGGTGTGTGTGTTTGTCACAACGGTCCTTAATTCCGTATTTTATACCTGCCAAATTGCTCCATCCATTGCTCTATTTATAGTCCGTGCCAGAGCTCCCAGGCACCCAACTCCAGCAACACACTAACCAGCAAAGATCTCACAAGGATGTCTTTACACCTCAAACACCCTTGAAAGCAGAGCAGTGACAGACAATTGACATCCCACAAAGCCAAGTGTTGGTTTCCCATTCATGGGAACATGCACAGCACTCACAGTCCCACTGTTTTGTTCCCACATCCCGACTGCTGCATCTGGACAAACGGTGCTGCTCTCCTGGACAGATTCAAACCAGTTTTGCCCACTGGCCACCAGCTCCTATGCTCACAAATGGTTAAACTTGCTCTCCGCAGATTTTCTTTGCTCCAACTCTCATTTGCAAATCCTTTCCCCAGAAAAATAGTTGGGAAAAAAAAAAGCAAAAAAAAAGGCGTTTTCCTCCAATAAGCTTAAACTCCTGTAGCTATAAAGTCATTCACTCTGGATACAAGTGAACTAAAGGATGAAGAGTGTTCTCCTCCTTATAAGAAAAAAAGCCTTCTTGAGCTTACAGCTTCCTTTCTTCTTTATTCACCATAACTTGATCCATTAACATGGTATTTGCTCCCCCTTCCCAGAGCACTGGGATTTAATGCTCCTTTACTTCCCTAATTTCTCACTTAGCCACAGTCCTGCCAGCGGCAGCCTCTCCCCTGGGCTGTCAGACCTCTCTAGCCCGATTCCCAGCTCCTTCCAGCCATCCCTCCTCCCATCCATCACATCCCTCCACCTTCCATTCTTCCATAACTTCTCCGTAGGTCACACCAAAAGGGGTGGCTCTGCCCAGTAAAACATGAAGGATTTCTCTGCCATCAACAAATTGCTGCATTCCCGAGGAAAAAAAAAAAAAAGCTCTGAGAAAAAGCTCAGTTCTGCAAAGCTCGTCCCAGGATTTGATGCAATCTGCCGTGCCGGCAAATTAAAGCCTCCAGAAACCACGCTAAAATTAGAGAGAGCTGAGATGAAAACCAAGGACACATGGTGGCTCTTACAAATCTTTAAATAGGGCTTGATACAACATCGAGGTGCTCGGCTTAGATCCACCAAGATCATTAATTTGGATTATAGAGAGGCACTGGCTGTTTCTGGGACAATTTGCAGGGTGGTGGGTGTGGGTTCCCACACACCGAGCTGGTGTCCCAGCGGATTTCCAAAGTGCTAATGATCAGTCTGATGGATTCACACCCCTTTGCCAAAGGTTAGCGGTTCCTCCTACACCCACTTCCAGAAGGTTTGACTCCCAGGTCACCAGCCCTGCCCAAGGGGGGTACCCAGGACTGGCTGTTCCAGACAGTTGGGGCTCCTGCAGCTCCAGAGATGGAGCCTTCGCTCCCCACCACCCTCCAGCAGGTCAGGGGAGTTGGGGTGGGAGCTGAATGTCCAGGAGGACATTCACCATTTCTGAAGCACTAGGAAGCCCTTGCTGCACATCAATCCCCTTTCCTATCCCCGATCCCAGGCCCCTCCCAGCTGAGACCCCGATAGCACCACGGTGGTTGGGTGTTGGCACTGGGGATGGTGTGAGCCAGGGGTGACTCAGTGGCCACGGGGCTCTGGGGTGCTCAAGGGGACTTTGGGGAGCTCTGGAGCTGCCACCACACAGCCACAACCTGCCCTGCCCAGGGAACAGCTCTGAGGTGGGTCCATCCCTGTTCCCTGGCTCTGGGACGAATCCCGAAGCTCTGCTGTATTTTGCATCCCTGCTTTTGCGTCTCTGCTTTAAAATCAATGCTCACAGCAAAGCCTTGTACTGCTGCAAGTACCTCAGGGACAATTAATTCCTCTTTAATCCGAAGTTTGGTGGCTCTAACAGTGCACACACTGCTTCCTTGAAATATTCCAGAGACAATGGGCAACCTCCCTTTTAAAATCCTATTTGTAAGCAGCTACAACTTCAAGAAATTTTTAGTGAATTTTTAAGAAGCATTTATAAATTACTGCAGGCCCAAGGATGGGGAATTTGCTGCTGGCCAGGCACTGCTCCTTCCCAGGGACTCCCACCAGTGGAGCTGTGACCGAGCAGACGCCTCCAGCCCAGCGTTTGCTTCCGAGCTGCAGCTCCCTGAGCCTGCTCCAATCTATCAGGCACTCAGGAATGGCTCCTGTCACTCCAGCAACTGCCAAAATTGGTGTAATGTAAAACCCTTTTTTCAAGCATTTCACAAGATCTGTATTACTGAAGACACAGGGAAGTCCCTCCTCTGTGAGATAATTAAAAAATTAAAAAACGCCAGTTTATCAAAGGAAAAGTTTTACAGATCAAATCCAGGCAAAGGGTGAAGATCACAGAGACACCAAGCTGACATGACACATTGAGCTATTTCATTATAAGATCATTAGTTTAATATGGCTTTGACATAAACCACAGTCATTAATATTGTTTGGAAAATGAAGAACCCTCCTTTCACTGCAGCTGCATGAAAAGAAAGATCCATGACCTCCTCAAAAGCCGATTCCCTTCCCACCCCCACACCTATGAACTGAAGCAATTTGAATATTCCCAAAAAGAGGCCACACTTTCCAAGATGTACAATTTATCCCTAATTCTGGGGGTTCTGAGATCAGCTGTTCCTATTTCTTTACCAAGTCCTACTACTTCCCAAAGTGGCTGCAATCTGTGCCGTGGAGGTTGCCATGGCAAGGATCCATCCTCCAAGAGGAGCTGAGTGAGCAGATGCGGAACAGCAAAATCCAACACATTAAGTCACTTCTCTTGTCATGGAATGATGAGGAAAACGCTTTGTATTTCACCTGTCCCTAAGGATTATGATCACTCAGAACACCTCAGGTTAAAACCATGAATGGCACGTGGCCGGAGTTTTGGGCTGAAAATCACAGATGTGCAAGAGCAAAATGAAGGGATTTCACTGGAGTGACAGAAACAGCAAAAAGATCCATACGGATCATTTCTGTTTTCCAAAAATCAAGGAACTTTCACCGGGGCTCTCACAGCCGTGACCATTCCTGGTCCAGCCTCCCAGGAATGACGAGGAAACCCAGCCGGTTCCTCGGTCCCCTCTGCAGACACGGACATAGGTCCGGGGGGGGATGCAGGCCCTGAGCCCCCATGGCCCAGCCCCCTGTCCAGGTTCTCCGGAATCCCCCAGAACAGGGATGCGCTGGTCCCCATGGCCCCATGGCTCCCCTAATCCTGGGTAACCAACTTCAGCACCCTTCAGCTGGCCTTCTCCAAACCGGCCAGGCTGTGGGATCGTGCTGGCAGAGGGACACGGCACCAAAGCCACTCGGGACCGCGGAAGGCAGCGCTGTCCCTGCTCGGAGGCATCTCCAGCACCGCCGGTGCCTCGAGAGGGTGGCACCGGCGCTGGAACGGGCGCAGAATATTCCAGGAGCTGTGCTGAGCCCGATCGGCGTTCCAGGCAGATTAACGGGAACGCCCGCGGAGACGCGCCCGAAACGTCCCCGGGGTGCGGGGGCTGCGCGCAGGCGGCGGCACCGCGCGGTCCGCGCCCGGAGCGCGCCGGGGGAGCCCCGGGAGCCCCGCACCGCCCCCGCTCCCGCTCCTGTCGCTCCTTTGTCCTCGGCAGAGGCTCCGCCGCGCCCGGCGCTCCCGCCCCGCGCCCCTCGCTCCCCGCCAGCCCCGCGCACCGGTGGGTGTGCGGCACGGGCATCCCTGTCACGGGCATCCCTGGGGGGGATCCCGAGCCCCCCCGGCCCCGCGGTACTCACGGTGCAGGCGGGAGCGCGCGTCCATGCGCGGCCGAGCCGCGGTGCGGGGGCGCGGACGCTGCGGG